AAACCTCCCATGGCAAAGCAGATTGAAATCTAAGTTGAGGGTTCAGATGGCCATTCAATATGGGGCCAGCTTTGGTCCTAGACTCTGTAGAGACCAACGTGGGTGTTGTGGTCCCTCAGCAAACTGACTCGTCAGCCTGCGTCATGGCATCAATCATTTGCTGAGGTCTGATCGTTACTGCCATTTTAACCGTCTTGGTTTGCAGTGGGTGAGGAGCATCTTAACCAATGAGTCATGTGACTTGGTGGTTATAATACAATTTAGAAGAGTAAGACAAAGTACATAAAACTAAACAAGTGAGCAAATATAAACCTTTCATATGTAAGCCTGTAGAATTGTCATCATTTAAACACGAATATCCAGATTCTTACATGTGGCTGCTTGTGACAAGTTCTTTTTAAAAGGTGCATTTTTAAAGGAGAACTATGGGGTTAGGGCTTTTCCCCATAGTTCTCCTTAGGGTAACGGGAGGACACAAACTAGCGTCCTCCCGTTACCCTAAGCTCGCGGTATACTGAGACGCCGCAGCTGAAGCGGATCCCGAAAATTATGTCTGGATCCGCCCAGCTGCGTGAGTGACAGCTGGCTCTGCCTATCTAGAGGCAGAGCCAGCTGTACCCGCCCCCTCCCCCGTCCATTCCGCCAGTCAGTGCTGGAGGATCGGAGCGGGGAGGGGGAATCCAGCCCCTCCTCTGTCACGGCAGGAAGCTGTGACAGGATCGAGAAGTGAGCGAACGCCGATATGTGTTCGCTCACTTCCCGATCTACTGAGCCGACCTGTGACAGTCTCATTGTCACAGGTCGGCTAGAACTATGAGGTGAGTGAAAATCACTCACCTCATAGTTCTCCTTTTACGTTATATACAGTAAGCCTCTGCTACATGAAAATAGAATTATTCCTCCGATCATCTAATATCATTTATAAAGCCAACGCTTCATCGTAAAAACTAACATTCGGTTCAATACACAATGATTTATAACAAGGATAAGGAGCTTTATTTTTAGCTGTGTAACTAATGTTTCTGTATCTTATTGGGCTCCGCTAATTATTATTATTTTTATGAAAATAAGGATCCTTATCATTGTGTGTTAGCCTTGTACATTGAGCCTTTTACCATCACAGAATATTATCTGGCAGCTTCTTATTGGCTTACAAACAGAATTTAAATAAAATTTTCAGGTCACCTGCTCAGATTCCCAGTGTGCCCAGTTTGGGTTCTGTTACTGGAATCACTGCTGTCATCCTTTGATGAACTGCTGCTGGAATATCCATCGATGTCAGTACTGCCAAAAGAAGATATTATTATAGATATTTATATTATTATCATATTATAATATTAGATATTATATTATATATATATATATATAGTGACGAGGGGGCATGAAGCCGGCTTCCCGGCCAA